AGGTGAACCTCGTGGACTCTAACCCACGAGAGTGGTTCATCGACACTGGTGCAACAAGGCACTTGTGTTGCAACCGAGAAATGTTCAACACCTTTGAGACCGTTGAGGGAGAGAAGGTTTGGATGGGAAACTCTGCTCAGTCTGCTGTAGAAGGCGTGGGCAAGGTGGTTCTGAAGATGACTTCTGGGAAGGAACTGACGTTGAACAACGTGCTGTATGTTCCAGAGCTGAGGAAGAATCTGGTGTCTGGCTCACTGTTGAACAAGCATGGCTTTCGCATGGTGTTCGAGTCAGACAAGGTTGTTTTGTCTAAGTTAGGAATGTTTGTAGGCAAAGGTTATGTAACTGATGGGCTTTTTAAGCTCAATGTAATGCCTATTATCATGAATAAGAGCAAAGTTAATTCCGTTTACTTGCTTGAGTCCTCCAATTTGTGGCATGGTAGACTAGGTCACGTTAATTATAATTCTATACGTAGATTAATTAACATGGACCATATTCCTAATTTTCAAATTAACACAAATAACAAATGTGAAATTTGTGTTGAGGCAAAATTAACGAAAGTACCTTTCAAATCGGTTGAAAGGGAAACTGAACCACTAGAATTAATCCATAGTGATTTGTGCGATTTTAGATCGATAAAAACGAGAGGTGGTAATAAATATTTTATCACATTTATCGACGATAGCACACGTTATTGCTATGTGTATTTGCTTAAAAGCAAAGACGAAGCCTTGGAAAAATTCATTCTTTATAAGAATGAAGTTGAAAACCAACTTAATTGTAAGATTAAGAAAGTTAAAAGCGATCGAGGTGGTGAGTACGAAGCACCTATTGGTGACTTCTGTGCGAGTGTAGGTATAGTACACGAACGTACTGCCCCTTACTCACCTCAATCGAACGGTGTTGCCGAACGAAAGAATCGTACATTGAAAGATATGATGAATGCGGTGCTTATAAGTTCGGGCCTACCTCAAGACGCATGGGGTGAGGCTATTTTGACAAGTAATTACCTTTTAAATAAAGTACCCCACAAGAAGCTTGATAAGACTCCTTATGAGCTGTGGAACGGTAGGAAACCTTCCTACCAGTACCTGAAAGTGTGGGGGTGTCTTGCCAAAGTTTTGGTGCCAACACCTAAGAAAGTAAAGATAGGTCCTAAGACGGTGGACTGTATCTTTATTGGCTATGCTCATAATAGTAGTGCTTATCGGTTCTTAGTACACGAGTCCCATAATCCGGACGTACACGAGAACACGATAATAGAATCAAGGAATGCATCTTTCTTTGAAAATTTATTTCCTTGTAGGTCCAATGAGGGACCGAGTTCGTCAAAACGAACGTTTGACGAAGCTATGGATAATGATAGTGGGGAATCCGAGAGAGAACCCGAGCTCGAGCCAAGACGCAGTAAGCGGGCGAGAGTTGGAAAATCATTTGGTCCTGATTTTCTAACTTACTTGTTGGAGTACGATTCGAGTACTCTAACTTGTTTATTAGAAAATGAACCCGATTTTCTATCTTGTTTGATAGAAAACGAGCCTCGAACGTACGGAGAAGCCGTGACTTCTACAGAAGGACCAATGTGGAAAGAGGCTATTAAAAGTGAAGTGGATTCTATTTTTACAGAATCACACTTGGGAACTTGTTGATCTTCCTCCGGGTAGTAAACCCTTAGGATCCAAGTGGGTCTTTAAAAGGAAGACGAAACCCTATGGTTCCATCGAGAAGTATAAGGCTAGGCTTGTAATCAAGGGTTACAGGCAACGCGAGGGCCTTGATTACTTCGACACGTATTCTCCCGTGACAAGAATAAACTCCATTAGAATGATACTTGCTATAGCCGCGCTGCGGAATTTGGAAGTTCATCAAATGGACGTTAAAACCGCTTTCCTAAATGGCGAACTAGATGAGGAAATCTATATGGAACAACCCGAAGGGTTCGTGGTTCCGGGCCAAGAAACGAAAGTGTGTAAATTGGTTAAATCGCTATATTGTTTAAAACAAGCGCCTAAGCAATGGCACGAGAAGTTTGACCATGCGATGTTAACTAATGGGTTTAAAATAAACGAAAGTGACAAATGTGTCTACGTTAAGGAAACGATAGACGGTTATGTCATTCTTTGTTTATACGTAGATGACATGCTCATCGTTGGTAGTAACGATCGAATGATCAAGTCTACCAAAAACATGTTAAATGCGAGATTTGACATGAAGGATATGGGTTTGGCTGATTTAATCCTCGGGATTAGAATCATTAGAAGACCTTATGGTCTGGTGTTAAGCCAATCACATTATATTGATAAAATCCTTGAAAAAATTAACAAGGATAATCATCAAGGGACTAGGACGCCATTAGATCGAAGCATTCATCTAACCAAGAACCACGGAGAGTGTATTTCTCAAGTAGAATATGCTCGGGTTATTGGTAGTTTGATGTATCTAATGAGCTGTACTAGGCCGGATATTGCCTTTGCGGTTAGTAAACTCAGTAGATATACGAGTAACCCCGGTGCCATGCACTGGACGGCAATAGAGAAGGTTCTGAGATACTTAAGGTATACTCGAGACCTTGGACTGCACTATGGGAGATATCCTGCTGTACTTGAAGGGTATAGAAACGCTAGCTGGATATCCGATATTAAGGACTCCAAGTCCACGAGTGGCTACGTGTTTACACTAGCCGGTGCAGCCGTTGCATGGAAATCCTCTAAACAGACCGTGATAGCTAGATCCACGATGGAATCTGAGCTGATAGCCTTGGACAAATGTTGTGAAGATGCTGAATGGCTACGCCATTTTTTTGAGGATATTCCTAATTGGGAAAGACCTGTACCTCCAATGTGTGTGCATTGCGATAGTCAAGCTGCAATTGGGAGAGTACAGAATCACATGTATAATGGTAAGTCTAGACATGTGCGTCGTAGACATAATACCATTAGACAACTTCTCACAACTGGTGTTGTCTCGATTGACTAAGTAAAGTCAGAAGACAATATTGCGGATCCGCTAACCAAAGGGTTATGTAGAGTAGCTGTGGAGAAGTTGAGACGAGGAATGGGTCTAAAGCCCTTGGTATAAGTTCTATAGTGGACACCCAACCTAGCTGGCACCTAGGTTCAATGGGACAACAAAATTATGGAATAGAGCGTGTCACTGTGGGGGTCTCAGATTCCCTACCACTCCTCGTTAGAAACAGTGGCTCCCGCACAAGGTTAGCATGTTAAATGCTTTTGTGATTCGAATGTCAGTTGACATATGAGAGTATGCGGGATACTCGGGAAAGAATCACCTATGTGAGAGAGAAGTGAGGGTACATTCACTGGGGCGAGAAATTTCAAAAAAAAAATAATTAAAACGACGTCGTTTTGCATCTGGGCGCATAGTGCAACGCGCGCCGTGGTGTTGGATATAAATTGCCAATGTGACTAGTGGAGGGAATGGACAGTTCGGTGGTAGCAATTAGGAGCGAGGTGGACCCAATCAAGCCCGTACCAGTGGAGTTGGACCAAGGATAATCTTGGTAATGAGTCAATCTCAAGCGGAGGCCCATAACCCCGAGACAGGTGTCTTTCTACTTGGATAAATTAATGTCATAGCTTTATTTAAATCTCCATGTTGGAATGTGAACGATGATGCAATATAGCTTTGGAATAATTAAGATATTCAGACTTTGGAAATACTCTATAGGAGAAAATAATTGAGGCATCAACTATTAATTTTGTAAATAAGTAGGTGAAATTTTGGAAAAGACTAAAATAAATACTGTTAGCCTATTAATTTGGAATTTTAAAGAAGGAAGGAAAGAGAGTGAAAACTCCCCAATTATGACAAGTCCTAAATGAAATGGATAATGGGATGGTCACCCGGAAGATGAGTGTTTAACCCAATTTAAAGAAAAAGGGAAAGAATTGCAAGTGTAGCCTAGAATAGTGGTCGCTTGGTTTTGGAGCAGCAGGACCGCAAGCCACAGGACTCGACAGTCCTGTCAGCCAGCCCTGCAGGGCCGACCCAGAGGGGCAGGCAACATGAGTACTCGCCCAGGGCCCAATGTTGAAAAGGGCCCCCTAATTTGGAGTTTTATTTTTTGATAAAGTTAAGAAAAAAAAATTCTTATATGAGCTTAGATTTGAACCCACAACTTCAAAATTATTGTTTAACATTAAATCTACTTAATCATTACAATCATTTAATATAATAATTTAATTAATAGATACTCCATATATATTACAGAATATTAAATTAATTTATAATTAAACTTCATATATGGGCCTTTCGAAAAGAAAAATATTCATATAGGGGGCCAAAGTTTGACTTGAATGAGCACTATAGCTACTTCGAGATTAGTCCAATTCTTTTCTTAAAAAATAAAGTTTTAAAATAATTACATGGCAATAAAAATTCAAATTTATCCTTGAATTCTTTTCATTTAACACAATCTTTTGAAATATATATATATATATATATATATATATATATATATATATATATTAATTTAACTTTATATATTAAGGGACCTTGTTTTTACTTTGCCCCGAACCTATAAAATAATAGGACCGGCCTGCGGCCCTATCGCGTAGAAGACCCCCAAGTCGCGGGGCTAAGCCGCAGGACGCCGCTCAGCACCGCGCGAAGCGAGGAGAGCCGCGTGACTACTACGTCCCGTGACCAAGCCCTGCTAGGGGCATTTTTGAGAAAACCCTCCCATTTTCCCAATTAAAATACCCGAACACTAACCTTTTTCTTCACCTTGGCGGAGCTCTCCACTGCCGCACTCTCTTCTCTCACTCCATGGCTTCTTCTTCCATTTTTCTTCTTTCTTCTTCAAAATTTCACCCACATTCTACAACAAATTCCATAAAATTTCTTCCTAGTTTATCTAAATCCTTCCAAGCATCTATCAAGTTCAAGAATTTCAAGCAACAAGATGTCAATAGGGAAGCAACACATTGAAGTAGGAGGTGATGTGGACTCAAGCTACTCGGTCATAGGAGGTAAAACTTTCTACCCAGAGCACTTCTCTGATAAGTTAAGTAATATCTTACAATTTCAAGGATTTTTGGATAAATATCTAAGAATTGGTGAGGTAGTGTATCCATATTTGGTCAAAGAATTTTATAGGAATTTGTCTACACAGATTAAGAAAGGGGCACTAATGTAAAATCTAGTGTAAGGGGAACCCGAGTAGAATTAAGTCCCAAGAAATTAGCTAGTTGGTTTGACCTACCCATGCGGGGCGCGGACACCTATGATAGAGAAAGTTGGATAACTGCTGACTCCATGGGATACGAAGAATATTTGTTGTAAATGACGGGTAGTGAAGAGGGGATTACACAAGATACCCGACCTGAGACTAGAGTAAAGATTTAACGCATTGAGCACGCAGATAAGTCAAGAATTCACCTCCCTTAATCAAAGAGTGGTAGTCATCGAAAATAGGCTTGGAATAGAGAATTCTCCGGGAGCAGCTTAGCAAGGATTGGATCCAAGTATTGTGTACCATAGCGCAGCGCACCATGGAATTTTGGTAAAGGTAATCGTTCAAGTCTCTTTTCAGTTGTAGGAAATTCCATTTAGTAGTTGGGATATAGTTATTGATTGAAATCTTAAATGCTTGCATGATATTCTTAGTCACAGTTCCAAATGACCCTTGATCTTTCTTAAGCTAAATTTGTGACTCTTGCCATCTCTTTGACATCATGGAATCCTTTTGGCAATAATCCCCAAGTGTATTTTTTATTTAAAAAAAAAAAAAAAAAACTCCATTCGAACCTTCCAACCTATCCAGCCTAAGCTTCAGGGACGAAACTTGTTTTAAGGGCGGTAGAATGTGACACTCCAAAATATTTTTCCTCCAAAAATCTCCATTTTATTAAAATTCAAAATTAAACTTTGAATTTAATTTTATTCCTATGATAATTTTACCAAATGAATAAAATATTTTTATTTTAAACTATTATTTCCAAAATGCTTTAATATAGAGTATGTATATATTTATTCATCCTAATCAAAGGATATATTTATGTACCAAAATTGTTTACCCAAAAAGTCTATATGAAAAGAACTTGAGAGGAACGTATGAATCTTATAGAATTGTTTTTAGCCAAAACTTGATTTTAAAATGAACCCACCCTTTTTTCTAAAAATTTATATTGCATTATTACCCAAACTTGATCCAACTTTCGACCCAAAATCTTAACCTTGAATTTTAAATCGCAAAATGACCTAAAAGCCCTCTCCTTGCCGTTCACTCACTCTCCATTTCTACCTAGGGTTTTGAGCCTATAAATAGGCACTATTTCATTGCCTGGTCTCTTCGATCCCTCCCTTATTCCCTCCTCTCAAGTCTTCAGGAGACTATCACCAAGGAGAAAACATAGTGAGCATTTCCATCTTCTTCATCCTTCTCCATTCATTTCATCCTTTCATCTTCCTCTTCCTTCCTATTTCATTATATAATATATGTATGTGCTCGTGTATGATATTTGTTCTATGTGTTTTTGCTTGGGGTTGATAGGAGGTGAAGGAGAAAGCCATAGTTGAAGAAGGATGAGGGATTCATACTAGGAGCTAGCAATCTCAAGGTATAATCCACGTGTTATATAATGTTGTGATGAAGATTTGTGTGTTATATAATGTTGTGATGAAGATTTATGTGTTGTTTTGTGCCTATAATGTGGTGATGATGATGTCTTAATCATATACTATTGTTGATGGGTGTTTTGGAGATGTGTTGTTATCTGAAAAAGGGTTTTCTGCCATAAAAATGGTTGCAGAGCATTCATCCCAGAGGTCACTGCCTCGCCAGGGATTTCAACCTGGCTAGACTAGCCACGGGACTGGACATTCCCAATGGCCAGTCCCGCATAAAGGTTGGGCTAAGCGTGGCGGGCTTTCTGAGCCCTACCACTCTGTGTCGTGGCTGCTGCGGGTCTCAATGGTGGGACTATATAGTCCCGTCGCCTAGTCCTGCACGATCATAACCTCAACGCAAGGTCCCTTTTTGGTCAGTGTTGAGGTCCTTACCCAGTCCAAAACTCATGGGCCCGTGTGACTCGTGAGGCTCTGGAATTTTATGTTGGTTATGTGAAAATTGGCCTAAGTGGTACGTGAACAAAAATCTATTTTCAAATAAGGCATGAACTATGATTTTACTAAGTGTTACTTGGGTAAACTTGGCTATAAATATAGAGTATATGTTGGTTTGGGCATTAAATCATGAAATTATGGAATATTTGCTTAAGTGCTCAATTTATAATGATTAGTTTGCATTGATGGGTGACACATGAACACTAAAGCATAAATTATTATTCCCCTATTCTTTATACCTAAACATATATATATATATATATATATATATATATGTATGTATGTATGTATGTATGTATGTATGTATGTATGTACATACATACATACATACATACATACATACATACATATATATATATATATATATATATATATATATATATATATATATATATAGGGTTGCATTCACATGCAAACACCCTTAAAATACAAACATGTGGACAAATATGAGCCATTAGATTAGATTAGATTAATGGAATAGATTTAAGGAGTGAATAGGAACCCAGGATCATGATTAATGATTGTAAGGGCATATAAGACATTCAAACAATACCCTAATTACGGTAAATATATGTTTATGATTTATAACCTAAATTAAAGTAGAATAATTATAGTAGGATTCAACATAGCAATACACGCATCCCCTATCCGTGCGAATTCCCCCATGTAATACATAGTAATCCGTGCAAATTCCCCTATGTAATACACAGTAATCTGTGCTTCACTATAATTAACAGTATGCACATAGAGTTGAACATGAAATAAATTAAGATACAACGTGTGTGCACAACAGAGAACATACTGCGGTAACGCGAGTGCAACCTTTACATTATAAGTGTGCACAGACCAGTCATCCAGTCTGTTGTTACTTATACACGCCTGAGTTATATGTACCAAATATGTGTGCACTACTAAATCTATTACAAAGGACATGCAATCCCAGGCCACAACAACCGCACCTGTCTAAACAAAGGCGCAAGCGACTCAAAATAGAATAAGGTATTTCTATAAACAGTACAATAATGCTATTACTTTGGTTTTATGGCAACTATTTGAATAGTTATATTTATTAGACTTATTATTCCTTAGCACTTGGAATTTAAAAAAATCTACAACAAGTAACCTATGCACATATGGAAATATGTATGCGCACACAACTCGGAGGACAAACACCAAGTTCACCACCAGCGCACACAATGAGTACAAAGCGGTGCACACATGCTCGAAACTAAACCCACAACAATGAACATTAACGTCTATACAAAAACCGGGAAAATAAGTAACATCAAACCTCCGTGCACGCAGGAAACTATATATTCGCACACAGAGTGTAGGGTAGTACACAATGTAACGTTCTAAAACTAAATCTATTACCATTGACTACAATCAAACACTTTAAAAAAAAAGCGTGCACACAGAAGAATATGAATGTGCTAATTAAACATAACGTAAAAACAAATGATGATAAAAAAAAACTAACGACAAATATCATGCACACAGAAGACTAATAACGTGCTAATTAAACCGATATACGCGTGCACACTACAACTATTACCATCCAACCCAAAAATAACGTTAGCATTAATTAAACACTGCTTGTGTGCCATTACAGTAGCGTCAACAAGTAAAATGTGCACAAGAAGATGTTGGCACAAAGGTAGTATGACCTAAAACTATAGTGAGCACAGTTTGCAATATACGTGTGCACACAATACCAAAATCCCAAAACAGACGTAACTAAGTACAGAATGCAACCCAAGATAACAATGAAAACCACTATAGTAACGTGTTTCCTCCAACAACTAGTTAACTATCAAAGCATCCTCCAGAAGATCAGGCATGGGAAACGCAATAGATTCACAAGGGCCGGACAGCTAATAATGAAGCCGAGCAGCAACAATGGGGATAGAAGCTCCAGAAGGCTTAACGGGGCGCACCGCTTTAAACGGGGCCACACAAACCGGGCCACCCAACGCCGTGGTCTCAGTAACCACATTCCCTTTTAAACACTCCTGCCAAAAAACACATGAAGGAGCAAGAAAAAAAATCAAACAGGACATTTAACCAGGCGAACACAACACAGAAAGGCATGCACACAACCTACGCCATATAATAATAACCCAAATGTAACAGCGGGGAACACATTCTGCTTAATCTGTATTCTACAACTGCAAACGAAAATAGCAAATAAATAATGAATGAAAGAGCACACACTTACAAACTGAATAAAAAGAAACAATAGAAACATACTCTAAAATTTGGACGCACGTAGACCATTCTCTAGGCATCAGAAACAGCAAGGGAAAAAGAACATACACCATCTAAGAATCAGATTTACAAACCTATAGCAATTAATTCATCAAATCCACCATAAAACATAAAACCCCAAACAAAAAACCCAAGCATGAAAATCCGGCCACTACCCCATTCCACCACCCCCCAAACCGATTAAGATGCATACAAACAAGCAACCCCCTAACAAATAAGAAGAAAAAAAAAAAAGCACAAAACACAAAAACCAACCAAAAAGAAAAGAAAAAAAAACCCAGTCTACAATTACCTTGGCCGACAGCACCCACCAGTGGTCCCACCGCTTCGACGTGCCGCGGTCCTCACCAACAACCATTGCTACGTGGATGTAAAGACTGATGGATGAATCAGCAAAATCAACGCGTTGCGAGGAAGCCTTCTGTGCACGAAGAGAGAGAGAGAGAGAGAGGGACACTACAAGAAAAATCACGATTCGCGATGGAAAAATTCTGTCACGAAAACACGACATTCCGTAGTGAATCACGTTTTGCGATTGAATTTTACATTTTCGTGACCAAATCCATTCCGTAGTCTCCAGGCTTGTCGTATTTCATTTCGCAACGAAAATAATCCGTCGCGAGCGATGGCTACGGAAAACGACGGAAATTTTCGTCGCAAAGTATGTGACATAAATTATTCCGTCGTAAGTCCATCGTGCTTTTGGCAATGAAAATGTTTCCTTCCGTAGCCATTGTGTAAAAAAATATTCCGTTGTAAAACTCGTATTTCGTCGCCTATTACACAAAAATAATTGTCGTCGCGATTCTATCGTTAACATTTCCGTTACAAATTCCATCTTCCGTCACAAAATTCTGTCGCGATTCTACTAAAGTATTTTTTTAAAAAAAATTGGTAATTGTTATTATTTTGTTAAAATTCTAATGTTTGTATTTAAAATGTTAATATGCAATTATATTTGTAAACAAAAGCTCTATTAAAACTAAAATGCAATATAATTTGTAAATTTCGTTGGTGTTCATTCAAATCAAACCATGAAGTCTACATAGTTCACAAAGTACAACTCTAAATTGCAATAGTGCCGTTAGAGCAAAAGGCAGTGATACTTATGAAGGCGTTACAACAGAGTTCAACCTAACATTGGACAAGTTCGTCGGATTTAATCCTAATATCAACTGCAACAACATGTTTGCAACATGTTTGCTTGTTATGTATCTCGTAGAACTTGCAATTTGCATGGCTTGAGGTTGCTGTCTTACCCGTGACGTTGGGAAATCTCTCAAGTTTGGTAGAGAAAACACAACACTGTTACAGCTTGTTGGAAAATTAGCTTAAAAATGACATAAAATGGCATTATAAGTGGCTACCTTGTGGTACAATTATCAGTGGGGTCCACTTCCGATTTGGGTCGGGTCAAAGTGGATTCGTGTTCTTCGTAGTGAGACGAAGAGATTGATATATTGTACGCTCAAAATGGATAATGGGTGAATGAGATATTGATTCTCAAAGTAGACCCATTTGAATTGGGAAATGAAGGGAAAATGTAGGACTTTGTCCCACATTGGCTTGGAAACAAGATTTGCCCCCCTTATATACATGAGCTCATTTCAAGCTTGTAGAATTGTATAGCATAGAGGCTCTCTCGCGCGGGGGGGGGGGGGGGGGGGTGCAAATCAAAATCCAACTAGAAGAGCTCAAAAGGCTTGAATCAAGCCGGCACCTGCGGGCACGAATGTCGTCCGGAAATTGGCTGGCCGTGCGGGCTAAGTTATGCCAAACTTCGGTATCATTTTCCATCTGTTATAGTCACTTGGTTCGGCCAAAACCGAACCGAGAGCACCTACTCTCGTGTGTAGCATGAGAGGTTGTGGTGCACGGAGAGCAAAACTCTCGTGCAACGGTGAATACGAGAGTTGTACTTTCGTGTAGCACCACAGCACGAGAGCTGTACTTTCGTGTTGTGTCACAACACGAGAGTGGGTACTCTCGTGCACCACAGCACGAGAGTGTATAATCTCGTGCACCCCAACGGTCAGAAGATTAAACTCATCTGTTACGGAATTAATACTGTTTAATTCCAATTGTTTAAACTCAGAGTTTAATCCTACTTAGTGCTGACCGTTACAGGTGTTACACAATTGGTTTTAATCCCAATTTACTGCCATGTTGAATGCTATCCCTTCCAACGAGCCCTATATAAAGAAGAGGTTGGGCAGAAGCATTTTACACACACACAGTGAGAAAAACTAAGGAATTCTAGTATAGTTTTCAGCTTCAAAACTTCTGCTTCTACTCTCTTCTT